CACACACACACACGCAAACAACTCTCCCATTCCCCTCAATCCGTTAATGTTTTTCTCGATTTTCCAATGTCTTTTGTTACATACCATGTCTTAATTTCTTCTGGTGTGTACTCCATATAAGGGATGAGCTGCCCACTTAAAGAAAAAGTAACATTAGCTAGTTATTAAGGCTCTGCAATGCTATTTTCAAACCGATTCATACCCAGTATTTTCTCGCGCTTTTTTAGTGTCTTACAAATGGAGCGTCTCTTGATGCCTTTCGCGCGCGCAAAAGAGAGAGGAGAACGACTGGGGACGAGTCAAATCCTCAACTATCTTAACGCACTTACTGCTTGTAGCTTAGTGCTATATCTTCAAACTCTTGTCGCCTTGCCCTGTATTCTTTATCTTGAAAACTCTGTAAAAAAAGGAAAAAAGTATGAAAAAATAAATAAGTGCGAGAGAAACTGCAGTTACATTTATTGTTAATTCTACTTAGTAATTGATACATGACGGGACGTCATTTGACTGACTTACTGACTTATTAATGTATAAAAAAAATATCAGCAGTATATGAATTTTACAAATGTAATAAATTKATTGGTGGATTCAACACAATGACTTTATGGATTGACAAGCTCTAAATATAGGACAACTTTTGTGTTATTTTGGTTCAGTGACCATGCACCATGCATGCACAAAAGAATTGCATTCGGGGCTCCGGGAAAATAGAAGAATAAACCAAGATTTTCCATTGTTTTCCCGGAGCCTCGTGTGCGTTTTTTGTGACGAAGGCCTTCTGGGAAGGCTTCGTCACTATGTCATCGGTCTGAGTGAAAGAGTTGTAACCATTCCAATTCAAGCAGGCGTTCCTAGCTGTTATTAAACACGTGATCGTTGTCCTGACCATGTGCGTTCTCTAGCGACGTGTTCGCTTTCGAAGGTGAGCTGTTGTTCTTTTATCACAATACAATGTATTCAAACTATTTTGTGTCTAGAACTAGACACAAATTTCTATCCATTTGCAGTCAAATTTGTATTTCTAAAAACATAAAACATATTTCAGATTTTGGGGGGCTTTATGTGGTTTGTTTGCTAACAAAAGTCCGATTGCTTCGCTTGACTTTAATATTACACAAGACCTCGGTGCAGGCGGCGTTCTTCAATTCCATTAGGGGAACAAATAAACCCACGGAAATGGCGTTCAAAATCTCCTTTCGGCAGACTCAAACTTCCCTTCAGGGAACAAGTAGTCACAGCAAGCTATAGTCTAGCGTAGTCGTTTATTAATATTTAACTGAGCTTTTGTRTTATTCAATGCTAGAGTACAAACACTAAAAGAGTCAAAAGAATTAGCATATTTTAGTAGTATTTAGTGGTATTTATGTTGCACAGTTCCCTTCCTTCCTTGTGTCATCCATCTGTTGACGGTGAAACGTTAGTAAACATTTATTTACATAATTGACATTGTTCATTAATATATTGTTTTATATAATCTAAATACAGCAATATGCAGAAATTATGGTCCTTTTTGCTCATACTTCAAGTATATAAAATATATCAGAATTATGGRATGTCATTTCCAATATTTGTTTTAGAGAGTACTAGTGCTAGGTAACTTAAAAATAATATCTGCAATGATGATAATATCTTAATTTATAAGCCTCTATTTTGTTCCTGTTAAACTATAAAAATTAATAAAGATACATGCTAGTGTTATTTTTTAAATTCACTGATCATACATTGAAATACCAGCCATAATAGTGAACTCACTTGATTTGTGCAAACTGTGCAAAACTGAATAGTGCAAAACTAATGATAGATTATGTTAATACTCTATTTATATGGTTATCAAAACTATTTAGTACCATAGTAATATTTGTTAGATGAATTTAGTGAGTTAACTCTAGGTATCATTGCCTAAAAGCGTAAAACATCTACAACATAACAACAATGACTGTCAGAAGAATTTTTTAAGATGGAATTACAAGGTCCTAATCTTTGTTTACTATTTTGCAAATAATATGAAAGAGACTACAAATTACACTCTGTCTTATGTCCTATTCTAGATCTTTATGTTCTTATTACATGTAAATCTCTTATGCCTGAGTCACATGCAGTCCTCGACTGCGTATTTTTTGTAAAATGTCATCGAACCAAAATATCTAAAGTTGACTATTATTTGGTTAAAGATCTGTCAATATACTTACAGGGTGGTCAGACCTAAGTTCTTCGTTTGCTTTTTTGACGCGATGAGCAARCACATCAATTTCTCTGATCTTCCTCGGAAACCAAGGCACTACAAACAACCCAGAATACAATTCAGCACTCATTTG